ATATGACAGTATGTTTATGTCCCCCCCTCCCTCCCCAACTCTCTGTCTCGAACGTTGCATTGTTACGACAGCTTAGCAAGGGTAACTGCGAAAAGCCCTATTGTGTGCTTAGCAGCATAACTACTATGTCACCTCCTAATAGGAACCTACCTAATAAATTACTCCTTTCAGGTCTGGCAAACTGACATCTCTCTGCGAGGGGACAATTTTATATTTGTGCCACCGCGCAAAATTGCTTCATCGCCAGCCACTGTGGATTAGCATAAAAATTAACACTTAAACTCCGGCTTATTTGCTTCTCCTCTTCTCTGCCACAATAATCAATTTCCCTTATAAATCTGATTAGATTTTACGATGCTTGTTATTCAAAGCATGTCGCCGCACAGCATTCGGAGGCAGGGAGACTATTTGTTTAAATAGAAAGAGAAAAAAAAAAAGCATTAAAAAATGTATAGGTGTTTTTTTTTTATATATTTTTTTTTTTTTTATTTCCATTCCCCTCCGCTGCTTCCTTTCCGTCTCATATTATAACGTCAGTAATTGATTGCACACATTAATTAACATGTAAGGTAGAAAATTTTGCATTATGCATGATTTATTTTTTCATATCTTGTTGGTTGCTCAGCTCGGTGCCCTTGCTCGGCTAGGACATCGGGCACTCCGTTCGGGGGTCCAGTCACAAATACCAGTGCTCGCTCTTCTGAAAGTTATTAATGTCAGATGCAAAATGAGATTTTTTTTTTTCTTTTATATATTTATTTTTACCTACTTACTAATCCGCCCGAGCTGTTTTGAGTGATGCTGGACGGTGGGTTTTGATCTCGCGCACGGGCCGATGGCATGCAAATATGTTCATTAAGGCGCCATTTGAAAACAGGCCGCGGCACACACTTTGAGCGCCGGTCGTGGTCGGGGAACGCGGTTAATTAAAGGAGTTGATAGAATGGCAGTAAAAATAAATAAATAAATACAGTAAATAAAAGTTTGGTGTCCATCAACCTCTTAAATTGCCATTGGGCGAGGGAGGCATTGTGATTGCAAATTGCCTCCTGTTTATGGAGGAAGGAAGAAAAAATATATATAAGCAATGAGTATTTTTATAGCGTGCAATTAAGAGCCGAACCTATCAGTATGGAAATGGCCGAGGACGCAGTCGCAATGTTTACTAGCGATCAAACAGAGTACCGGAGGATAAGCAACCTCAAATGGGGCCTGCACACAGAACCTGAAGGCGCATTCAATATGGCAAAAAGCAATATACAGGGTGTGAGGGGGGCCCTCACAACCAACCTAAATTAAAGTGCCCCTGTAGTTAATCAAACACCTATAAAGAGCACCTTATGAGATCAGGGCCCAATAGCTTTAGTTCTGCTCTATGGAGTGCCTCCTATGTGGCAATCTCTTGGCTTTGGATAGGTCACATGGGCTGCCTTCATAGCTTTACAAGACACAGGAGGGGGCATCACCTATGTTCCCAATGCTCAGAATTCTGTATTTGTATAAACACAGAGGCAGTCAGGGTGCTCTGTAGAGACTTTAAACCTAAAGTATGTTATGACACCTTACATTGTCAGTCCTAATGCAGAACTGCTTGTTATTAGATGTTTGAAAGAACTGTGCCCAGGCTATGAACATTCAAATATTTAAACAATGTGAACAAGCCATTACTAAGCTTTAAAACAAGACCTTACTGGTCTCTGTAGCAACAGCCACTGTGGAGTAATTCATTCTCAAAATCTGAATCTTAGTATCTTAACTTTCTCTCTGTAGCTCAGCTTCCCTCTCCCAGCAGTGACGCGGCAGCTTGCTGGTCTTCTCATATATGTTTATATATTAGGGATGCACCGATACGTCGATGCCGAGTATTTGGGCTAGTACTCGTCCAAATGCTCCGATGCATAGCCCAATACTTCCGGTATCAGGAAGCCGGGCAGGGCATCATTACACGCTGCCCAGCTTCCTGATTGGTCGGGACGAGAAGCATGGGGATGGCTTCCCTGTTAATCGGGAAGCCAGGTAGCAAGTCTTTACCCGCTGCCCCGCTTCCTGGCTAATCAGGAAGCCAGGTGGCAAGTCTTTACCCGCTGCCCCGCTTCCTGGCTAATCAGGAAGCC